ATATAGAAGGAGGGGAAAGTGAAGGAAGTGGAAGAAAGGAGAGGGAGAGGGACAGAGAGAGAGAGGGGGGCAGACAGACACACAGACAGACAGACAGAGAGGAAGAATCAGAGACTGAGGGGGAAGGAGAGATAGAAGGGGGGCTTCCAAGTGACAGCCCGAATCGGCGGCGGGATGGATAACATGGCAATTCGCTTCACGGATGTTTGCAAGACAAATTGCGACGTCTCCCTCGAAAGGATTTTGCGAACTCCGGATCCCCGTCATTAGCGAGTTCACATGACGGAATTTTGCGCGGAAGGACATTTGTATCATTTTAGAAATTTAATGACTCAAAGAAAGCAAGAAGAAAAATTGACGAGGCACTGCAAAAGAATAAAGAAGAATAGCTGTCTCGTTTGCGAAATTTACGACGCGAGCAAAAAGCAAGGTGAAGAGAGGGAAAGAAGGTGAAAACGAAGGAAGCCACAGCAAGTAGGAAAAAGCCCTCCTCCTCCCTCCTGTCTCAGAGGAATTGGTAGAAACTCGGGCCATTTCCGGTGACCTGTCTCTCGCCTCTCATCCCCCCCCCTACAACGCAGCAGAAAACAAAATAAAACAATAAAACGAGAGGCAACGTCTGGCGCTTATTCACTCATCCTCTCTGGGTTCTTTCCCTCTGCTTCGTAATTTCGTCAAGAATTAATGTTTCGCGTTTCGAATTGTTCAAACTCTTCGAGGCGTTGGTCTTTTCTGATGGTGTTTTGATATTTAAGTTAATTTTTCTTTTTCTGTTGATTTAGAAATCTACTCTCTCTCTCTCCTCTCTCTCTCTTCTCTCTTCTCTCTCTCTCTCTCTCTCTCTCTCTCTCTCTCTCTCTCTCTCTCTCTTCTTCTCTCTCTGACACACACAACACGCGCGCGCGCAAACACACAACACACACACACACACACTCACTCATCACTCACTCACTCACTCACTCACTCACTCACTCACTCACTCACTCACTCACTCACTCACACACACACACCACACACCACACACACAACACACACACACACACACACACACACACACACACCACACACACACACACACACACACACAACACACTCACACTCACACTCACACACACACACACCACACACACACACACACACACACACTCACACACACACACACACACACACACACACACACACACACCACACTCACACTCACTCACACTCACACTCACACTACACACACACACACCACACCACACACACACACACACACTCACACACACACACACATATACAAAAAAACACAGACGCCCCACGGCCGCCCAAAGCCCCGTCTGCCCCCAGGGTGACGCCTGCGAGGCCCGCTGTTTGAAGAGCGATGATGATGAGTCTACTTTGGTATCCTCTAAGTGCCTGTATTTCCCCGTAGATCCGGGCTCCCTCCCCTTATACGGGCGTCCTCCCGCCGTTACGACCCAAGTTTATTTGGTGGAATGATACCATGGCGCCGTTGACACGCGGAGATGGTATCGCGGGCGCCCGCTGTTCGTCTGGCGGGGCCGGACAAATCCTTCGCGAGGAGGGGCTGCGCCGGTGGTTTTTTCTTCTCTTACTTTCTTTTTTACTTTTTTGTTTACATTTCCAGCTTCGTTGCCTTGTTGAGTATATTTTGTCTTTTATAGTCGCATTCTTGTCTTCGTGTCACCGTTTGTTTCCTTCTCACAACAACATACCCTTCAGTGTCCCTTTGCCGCCACGTATTTTGTGACCGGGCAAGGGGTTTGAGTGTGTTTGTATGTATTTCTGCGTCTGTGTGTCAGAGCAAGCTTATGTGCATGTGTCTGTACCCGTCTGTCCTTCTAGCTCCTTGAACAGGACCGACCCCTCCGTCGTCGCACATGTATCTTTATAGTTGGCAAGAAATCAGAGACTGTCTCGAAGAGGCCTGGCGAGGAGGTGGGCGTGGCCTCGGAAACCGCGAGGGATATTAGCAAAGCGCCGAGAATCCGCGAAGCGTGGAGCGAATGCGGTGCGACGGAGCATTTGTAAACAAGGATTTATGTTTTGTGCTCCACTTTTTCGTCTCTGTGGATGTTGGTGACCGTTTAAGAGGGAAAAGGTTAGAGAAAGTAGTCTTTAAAGGCCAAGTTAGCGATATTTTTTGTGAATTTACCTCAAGTATGATGATATTCTGAAATTATGTCATGGTAGTAAAGCACTGCATTCCTCGGGTATTGCATGGGATTTTTTTTTCCTGTCCTAAGAGTATTATGACTGAGTTTTGTAACCTTTGAGTGTCTCCGTCGTCTTTGAGGTAAGAAAGAAATATATATTTTTACGGGTAGTTTAATAATTGGTATGTTTCTTTTTCTTTTTATACGCTGTCGTGGGATCCTCCTTGCGTTCGGCTTTTTATTCCAAGAGGAAAAACAATCTCGGCAGCGGAAGAGGCGAAACCCGCGTCTTAACCACCCTGTTAACAGGATTTCGCGTGGCCGTTAAACCCGGGAAGGTAGTCTGTCAACGCGTTTCCTACCGCGGTGTTAACACACGTGCTGCTGATCTCGCCATGCGTCAGCGACAGGAGCCCAGCGATGTCCTCCTTTTCAGCTATGGTATACGTTTAGGAACTG